ATTTAATATAGACTAACTCAATTTTCCATTCAGAACACCTTCTGAGACTCCCCCACAAAATGAGCTTTTAGATTGTCATTAAGCCAATAGAGTGGAAGTTAAAATACTTAAGTTGTGTCAACATGCAGACCTAAAAGGATGCTGTATGGGCAGAACCATCCCTGAAAGAACTAAGGAATCTGAAAGGATAGCAAGTATAGCCGTGGTATAAAGTACATCTTCATAGCTCTTTTATTTCAAAACAGTATCAAAACTAGAACTCCTGGACCTTAAATTAAGGCCATTATATTCGCTGTTAATCAAAAAGTGACTGTTTGGACTGGACAGATGTCTCAGTGATCAAGAGCACTGGCTCTTCTTCCAAAGGTCTGAGTTAAATTTCTAGCACCCACATGGTGACTCAAAACCATCTATAATCGTAGTCCTTTGGGATCCAATGCCCTTTTCTGGTGTGCAAATGTACATACAAACAAAATACTCACATACATCAAGTACATAAATCTTTAAAAACTTTCTCACCAGGTGGGGTGGCACATGCCTTTAATCCCAGCACAGAGAACATCCCAAGGTGTATCTCCATAAGTTTGAGGTCAGCCAGGTCTACAAAGCAAGTTCCAGAGCAACCAGAATGGTTACACAGAGAAACCCTGTCTCAAAAAAAGAAAAAAGGAGGGGGGGGGGGAGGATGGTGGAGACTTTTCCTAATACATATGTAGTTAAGTTTGATAAAAGTGGCCTGTTATTAGAAATACCTCTATTACCAAGGTAATTCTTGTAATCCCAACACTTGTGAGTTGGAGGCATGAGGATCAGGAGTTCCAAATCATCCTTCACTGCTAACCCTTTGAAGCTATCCTGGGATATTTTAAGTCTTGTCTCCAAAACAAAACTATTGGTAAACCAAAAGCTAACTATTCCAGTCAAATACTCCTTTAAACTCTTCACAGATTCTTTTATTCAGTACTGTCTTGGTGAAAGTTTCAATGATTTAAGTTTCTCAAAATGTGACTAGAGATATAACTTTTGGAATATTTGTTTATACTGTGTGAAGATGTGTCTACGTTTTGCCTCGACTGCCTTAGGTGCCTCCTGATTGATTTAATAAAGAGCTGAATGATCAATAGCTAGGCGGGAAGAAACAGAAGGGACATTGAAGGAAAGACGAACTTGGGATGAATCCGAGGCATATGGGATTCACCAGCCAGACATGGAGGGAGGAAGTTGGACAGACAAAATGGAGGAGAGGTAAAAAGCCATGTGGAAGAACATAGATTAAGAGGAATAGGTTAATTTAAAAGAGCTAGTTGGGAACAAGCCTAAGCTAAGGCCAAGCTTTTCTAAATGATAAGAAATCTCTGTCATAATTTAGGATCTGATGGTCCAAAAAAAAAAAAACAAGAAAGACATTATATAGCTCAGTTGATAGTGTTTTCCTGGCATGCACAGAGCTCTGGGTTTGATCCTCAACAGCACACTAGCTGGAAGGCACATGGCTGTGACTCAGGAGACCAATAGCTCAGGCTTACTGTAACTACCTCTTACATTTAAATTAAACCATGTCTGTTTATATATTCCCACATGACTTATGGCTTTATCTGTCCTCTAGCATCTTGCTTTTCCAGCGCCTGGCTAACTCACTGCCCATCTTTCCCCCAACATTTTCACTTTGGCTTTCCTACCTAGGCAAGCCAATCAGCTTTTTTATTATCTAATGAAAGTAATACATATTCACAACATACAGAAGGATTATCCCATAGCAGTTATTGTGATATTTATTTATGCTTTATAAATAAAGCTTGTTTGAAGACCAGATGGTAGAACTAAGCCACTAGAGGCCAGGCAGTGGTGTCACACCTTTAATTCCAGGATTTGGGAAACAGAGGCAGATGGATTTATTATTTTAACTTTATGTGTATGAGTATTTTGCATTCAAGTATGTATTGCTCCACATGCATGACTGGTGTTCTGACGTGACTAGAAGAGGGTGTCAGGTTCCCTCGAACTGGAATTGCAGATGGTTGCACACCACCATGTGGCTCTTGTAACCAAACAGAAGTCCTCTGCACAGTAGCAAGTGCTCTTCACTGCTGGGCCATCTCTCCAGTCACACACATATATTTGGATCATCCACCCACCACTACTGCTTTCCAATTCCCCTTACTACCCCCTGCCTCATATTGCTCTTATTTTCTTGTCGTCTTCCCTCTCCCCTTTGGTGTATAATAACTCCAAATTCCATTAGTTCTACCCATAGACCCAGTATGCGACTATCCACTGATTATGGATGACCAACCGTAAGCCATGTTTCCAAAAGAGTAAACTCTCCCTCTGCAGCTAACAACTCCTCTGCTAAGGGTGGAACCTTAGGGGCCCCACCCGACACCATATGGAATTTTGACTGGCTCAATCTTCTGCAAAGCCTTTCACAAGTAACAACAGCTGCTGTGAGTTGATGTGTGTGAAAGCCACATTATGTCTAGAAGTCAGCATATTACAGCTCTTCTCCCAATCTGCCAGCTCTCTTTTGTGATGTTCTCTGAGACTTGGATAGGGTTAAGGCTGATATACATTTGTCTACAGCTGAGCACTCAGTTACTTATACTAAGAATTTTGATGAGTTACGAGTCTCAACATTGCTACTAGCCACTGCAAAAAGAAGCTTCTCTGACTAAAGTTAAAAACAACACTAATTTATCAGTATAAACTTAAGTATTTAAAGGACAGTTTGATAACATGACAAGTTAGCAAAATAGTAAGTTCCCCTTTAAGGTATATGATCTCCCCAGTCATTAGCTTTTTTTTATTGTTGTTTTGTTTTGTTTTTTGTTTTTCTCGAGACAGGGTTTCTCTGTGGTTTTGGAGCCTGTCCTGGAACTCAGTCATTAGCTTTTGACAAGATTTGCAGTATGCTAACAGAAGGAGTTGTTTACCTCTTAACCATCATACCACTATTGCATCACCAGACACATTTTTTTTATTGATTTTTATTGAGCTTTACATTTTTCTCTGCTCCCCTCCCTGACTTTCCCCTCCCCCCTTCAACTCTCCCTCAAGGTCCCCATGCTCCCAATTTAATCAGGAGATCTTTTCTTTTTTTGACTTCCCATGTAGATTAGATCTATGTAAGTCTATCTTAGTGTCCTCATTGTTGTCTAAGTTCTCTGGGATTGTGGTTTGTAGGCTGTTTTTTCTTGCTTTATGTTTAAAAACCACCTATGAGCGAGTACATGTGATAATTGTCTTTCTGTGTCTGGGTTACCTCAAAATAATGTTTTCTAGCTCCATCCATTTTCTTGCAAAATTCAAGATGTCTTTTTTTCTGCTGTGTAGTACTCCATTATGTAAATGTACCACATTTTCCTTATCCATTCTTCAGTTGAGGGGCATTTAGGTTGTTTCCAGGTTCTGGCTATGACAAACAAAGTTGCTATGAACATAGTTGAGCACGTGTCCTTGTGGCACAATTGAGCATCCTTTGGATATATATACCCAAAAGTGGTATTACTGGGTCTTGAGGAAGGTTGTTTCCTAATTTTCTGAGAAATCGCCACACTGACATCCAAAGGGACTGTACCAACTTGCATTCCCACCAGCAATGCAGAAGTGTTCTTTTTTCCCCACAACCTCTCCAGCCTAAGTTTTCATCAGTGTTTTTTATCTTGGCTATTCCTACAGGTGTAAGATGGAATCTCAGAGTTGTTTTGATTTGCATTTCTCTGATGTTGATATTTCCGTAAGTGTTCTTCAGCCATTTTAGGTAGATCACAGTCAGCTGTGGCTCCGGGTCCAGCAAATCAGCACATGCTGGCCTCTGCGAGCATCTGCACTTACATACACATACCCACACACAGAAACACAGATCATGTAATTAAAGTTCTTTTTAAAAGAAATCTGACACCTAGGCGGTGGTGGTGCACAACTTAAATCCCAGCACTCAGAAGGCAGAGACAGGTGGATCTTTGAGAGTTCAAGGCCTGCTTGGTCTACAGAGCTAGTTCTAGGACAGCCAGGGCTACACAGAGAAACCCTGCAAATTAATACAGCCTCATGGAAGCCTATTGGGAGGCTCTTCAAAAAAAACCAAAACAGAACATCTAAACAGCACTCTGGAAGCAGAAGTAGGAGGATCTCAGGAGTCCGAGGCCCGACTGGTCTACAGAGCGAGTTCCAGGACAGCCAGAGGTACCCACGGAGAAACTCTATGTCAAAAAACCGAAAAAGAAAAAAGGGGGGGGGGGAGGGAGGGAGGAAGGAAGGATGGAAGGAAGGAAGGAAGGAAGGAAGGAAGGAAGGAAGGAAGGTTGGTTTGCTACTCTTGAAGATGCTGGGGGTTTGCTTCTTAGCACCTACTTCAGACAACACCACCCAATTCCAGCTCCAGGCGATACAACCCCCTCTTCTGATTTTCCTAGGCACCTGCACACACGTGACACAACATACATATAAATAAATCCTTTAAGAATGTTTATCTTTGGGCTGGAGAGATGGCTCAGAGGTTAAGAGCATTGCCTGCTCTTCCAAAGGTCCTGAGTTCAATTCCCAGCAACCACATGGTGGCTCAGAACCATCTGTAATGGGGTCTGGTGCCCTCTTCTGGCCTTCGAGCATAGACACAGACAGAATATTGTATACATAATAAATAAATAAATAAATAAATAAATAAATAAATAAAATTTAAAAAAAATGTTTATCTTTTTGATGCAGATAGAAAGGATCGGAGAATTTGGGCCTCACAACTAATTAGTGCTAAGAGTAGAAATTAACTCAATACGTATCTAGGACTGTGAAACATTGAGGAAAAAGCCCAAGCTTCCCAATTCCCGATGCAGAGAGGGATCCAAGGCGAGAACCGGATTCCCAGAGGGAGGAGCGGGAAGGACGCTGGCCCCGGCCCCGGGACCCCCAAGGACCGTTTCTCCGCCGAGCCGCGCGAGGGCGCTGCTCGTCTCCTCGTGCGCCGAGCCCAGCGGCGCCGCCCCCTCGCCTTTTCCCGGCGGAAATGCCGGGGCGATGACGGAAACCCGGAGGGAGGGAAGAGAAAGAGCGAGAGAGCCCGGGCCAGAGCGCGGAGAGGCCTGCGGGCGCGGCGGCGGCGGCGGCGGCAGCGGGCGGGTGCCGTCGGGCCGGAGCCTCCCCCGAGCCGCGCCGCGCTCCGCGCTCCGCGCTCCGAGCCGTGTGCCACTTCGCCGCGCCCCGGGGCGCGTGGCCGGGGCCGGGCAGGGCGGGGCGGGGCGGCAGCTCCCGGAGGCCGCGGCCCGCAGCTGCCTGCTGCGCTTAGGCGGGGCGCGGGCTGCGCGCTCCGCGGCTCGGTGGTCCCGCCGGGGGCCGGCGGCGGCGGCGGCGGGGGCGGGGGAGGCGGCGGGGACGCGCGGCACGCCGCCATGGACGACAAGGCGTTCACCAAGGAGCTGGACCAGTGGGTGGAGCAGCTGAACGAGTGTAAGCAGCTGAACGAGAACCAAGTGCGGACGCTCTGCGAGAAGGTAGGCGGCCCGCCGCGGAGGGAGGCGCGCGCGGGGAAACGGGCCCTGGCCCCGCCTGGAGTGCGGGCTGGGGACCCCGTCTCCGCCCGAGGATCAGGCAGCTGCAGCCCCCTAAAGACGCGGGCTACGCTCCTGAAAGTCGTTAACACGGCCACTTGGGGCTAGCGTGGGGTTGTTCGCGGGTGAACCGGGGGCCCCCTCGGAAAACCACGGAGTGCATGAAGCTTTTGTTTGCACCCCGGTGGGTAGGGCGGCCGGCAGACCTTTCAGCCCGGCTTCACTGTGGCGGAGGCAGGCGGTGGCTTTGGGCTTGGTGGTGAGTGGCTCTGGGGAGCGGTGATTTCTTTCTCGGGAAGAAGGCAGCAGGTGTGAGCTTGGAAGCCGTGTTTACTGGCAGAGAACTGGGACGGGTGCTATTAATAAGCTACCAACATTACAGAAAGTTACTGCCATTTTTACCGCGTGTATTCCCCCTCTCCCCCGTCCCCATAACTTGCATAACGTCCCCCTTCTTGACTGTGTTTTCGTATCTGAAATCTGTATCCGTTGATGTATTAACCGCTGGGTTTTTAGAGTCTGTATTTTTTCATTACTTTTTTTATAGTATGGACTTAAGTCGCTTCCCTGTATTTTCCTGTGAAAGAGTAAAGGAGTTAATTATTTCAAGTCACAATCTGTATATTTTTCTTAGAAATCCGGATACTACCGGAGGATTTTGTTCGTCTTATAAGCGCTCTTCTCTTAAGGGAGGGGGAGTAAATGCTCGTGATGTGTTTTTCAAGCGTTCGGTGTTGTCCAAGGCCTTTGTATATTGAGTAACTACTTAGAACAGGGAGTTTCTTCCTTCAAATAGAACCATGAAGAAAGTGGTGTCCCCCAGTGAAACGGTTTGCTTCCAGCCCCACCTCTTCCATAAGTCTTAAAATTAACCCTTTAGATGATCTCTGTCTAGCCCGAGTTAGACACTGAACTGTCCAGTTTGGAAATTGGCTGGGTCAGTCAGCCTTATTGTAGTTGTGACATCCAGAACTGAAGGTGCAAACCAAGAGGTGGCTGAGTCAGCCCAGGGCTCCCCTTTGACTTTCTAGTAATTGTAGGACTCTTCCTTGCAGAAGGCTGTCCAGCTGCTGGGCAGTATCGTGCGTGGGCCTTAACTCTTTTGGAAGCTCTCTGAATCTGTTAAAAACAAAACAAAAAACTTCCGCTTCTCAGTAAACTGGATTAGGAGTTTGAAGCACCACGTAGTGTATTAAAGCTGACATCCTAGGCTGTGAGTGAGGGTTTCCTTTGCATAGCTCCACTAATTCACGGCGGCACCCATCACGTCCTCTAACCCAGAGGATGGAGTTGCTCGTGGGAGAAACAATTGATTCACAGCCCTCTTCAGCATCTCTGGTGTGCCTGTACGTGTGTGTGCATGTGTGTGTGTGTGTTCTTTAGTCCCTAGTCCCATCTTGTCATAGGTTTAAAGACTTATTAATTTTTATGTGTCTGTGTGCTCAGTGCTGATGCGTGAGGAAGCGGAGGCATCAGATCCCCTGAAACTGGCTGGTGGCGAGCCACCCGATGTTGTGGTCCTGGGAACTAAGGGAGCTCTGGTCCTCTCTGTCAGAGCTGTCCAGGTTCTTACCTGCTGGGCCTGTCAGAGTTCATTCTGCTCCAGCGCTCTCTAGCTCCTGCTCCCTGCACACATGATGCCGCTCTGAAGCATGGATGATACTTATAAGCTGTTGGGTGGGAGCTATTAGGAGGCTCCTCATGCAGCCCTGGCAGGAAGCGAGCTTGGAGAACGCTGAGAGAATGGGAGAGGTACGCGTGTCTCGTTCCAGATGTCACTGCACTTGCTTTGGTAAAGAGAAGGTAAAGCAGATGTGGTGACAAGGCCTCTGTGATGGTCCCTCAGAGGAGAGTTTGTGTGTAGTGGCCCTAACCAATTTCACTGTTTCCTGTTGTCTTCAGCACACAAATGGCCAGGGTTCACAGCTGTGCTGGAAACAGCTTCCCGGGTGGTCCTGTGAAGTCTCCCCATCCAGAGCAGAATGCTGTGTAGAAGGATGGAAGAGAAAGGCAGACCCTATCTTAATTCCTTTTGGCTAGTTTTTTAGGGGTTTGGTTTGGTTTGGTTTTTTGAGACAGGGTTTCTCTGTGTTACAGCCTTAGCAGTCCTGGCACTAGCTCTGTAAACTAGGCTGGCCTCGAACTCAGAGATCCGCCTGCCTCTGCCTCCCAAATTCTGGGATTGAAGGCGTGCGCCACCACTGCCCAGCCTTTTTTTGTTTTTGTTTGTTTGCTTGTTTTTTTGTTTTTAATTTCTTATATAATTTTTATATACGTGCATGTGTTGTAGAATATTAGTTTAAGGTGTGTTACTTTTGTTTATGCTCTGGAACATTTAATTATGCAAAATGTAAACAAAATTCTCTTGTAGTCCAGAGGCTGGACCAGCAACTAGCTGACAGGAAGTAGTAGAGAGGAGCCAGGTGGAGAAAGAGGGCTGTGAAGAACATGAAGACTTCTTGGGAGACTCGAGCAGGGTGAGCTGCTTGCTATTCAACCTCTCTGGGAAGCAGCATTCTACCTCAACCTTTGAATCTTGAATTATTTAGCAGGATAGAGATTTAGTAAAGCTCTCTTAGTAGTTTTGAAAGAGTCAGTGCCTGAAGGAATAGGATTTCTTCAGGCCGCGACTCTCCTTGCTGCTGCTGGTACTGGAGTTGCAGTTGGCTGACTAGGACAGCAGTAGTTTAGAAGGCAAACAAATAAAAGGACAACAGTTTGGCGCGTTGGGCATCAAAATGTTGTGTGATGTTTTACTCTTGGATTTTGGGGAGGGGACGCCACCCAGCTCTCAGATAAATTGCACGCAGAGGCTTATTCTTAGTTGTGAGTGCCCAGCCTTCGCTTAGCTTGTTTCTTGCCAGCTTTTCTTAAATTATCCCGACTACCTTTTGCCTCTGGGCTTTTATCTTTCTCTGTTTTTGTATACCTTTCTTTCCTTCTTACTCCTTGACTGGCCCCTGATGTCCTCCTGTCCTCATTTTTCCTTCTGTTTATGCTCTCTGCCTGCCAGCCCCGCCTATCTTTGCTCCTGCCTCACTTCTGGCCGATCAGCTCTTTATTGGACCATCACGTGTTTTAGACAGGCACAGTAAAAGCGTCACAGTTAAACAAATGTGGCATAAACAAAAGTCACAAACCTGAAAAGTGCACAAGGGCGTCGTTAAAGAACACTGGAGAAAGTCCTCTCCTTCCAGTTTATGCGAGTTCTGGGATTGGGCATCGAGCACCTTACCTGCTGAGCTATTTCTTGGGCTATAAGAGTTATTAATTAACTTTTTATAAAGAGCGGGTCTCAGTATGTAGTCCTGGCTGCCCTGGAACTCTTGAGACCAGGCTGACCTCCTGGGTGTTGAGTTTAAAGGTGCGCGCCACCATGCTCAGCCCACCAAATTTTTTAGTAGCTTGCTTTTTAGGTTTTGTTTGCTGTAGTGCTCTGTAAGAAGTAACACTGTAAGGCGATGGTTGTCCCTAGGAATTAAAGCTGAAACAGCTGAACTGAACAGCCCTGTGTGGGTGGGTCGGGGGCGGGGTCAGTGGGTGGAAGGCTGCCCCAGAGCAAGCACAGACCAAGCATCTGCCTCCTGTCGCTGTAGCATTGTTGGTATCAGACAGTACGGCTTGTCTCTTCTCACCTAAATAGCAGCTCAGATCCTGGAGCTCACTGGAAGTCCGACTTCTCTGGGACTCCTTCCTGGACCAGCCGGGTGCGCAGCAGATTAAATCAGAAAACCTGAGGCTAGTGTAGAAATATACATGTAAATTCTAGGACTGGAGAGATGGCTCGAGTTATATTCACAACCAAAAATATAATAAAGATGTGTAAATTCTATATTGAATTGGTGGGTGTGTTTCATGACTTTGACTTCAAAGCCGTTGGCATAAGCAGGCATTTAAGATTCAAGTTCATAGTGTAGACAAGCATATACTTCTGAAGCAATATTGTGTTACCAAAGATTAGTCCTAGTACAAATGGACCTTGTGCATTGAGGTAATCGATTACTCTCTGTGATAGATACAACTTTTTTTTTTAAGTGGTTTAGGCTGGGTATAGTGGCCACACCTGTAATTCCAATGCTCTGGAGGCAGACAGAGGTGGATCTTTGTGAGTAGAGGCCAGCCTGGTCTCTATAATGAGGTCCCGGACAGCCAGACTACATGGACTGACCTTGTCCCCCAACTCGAGGGGCAGGGAGGTGATTTAAGTGCCAAAAACTCTGAGTGGCTACATAGCAAGTTCCAGAACAGCCAAGGCTACATAGTGAAATCCTGGCTCAAGAAACAAAAACAAAAGACTCAAACAAAAATACCAAACTAGTATGCTCTTTTCCTTCTTTTTTTTTTTTTTTTTCCATAGCCTGGAACTCACTACGGTTGATCTCAGACTCTCTGGGTTTGGCCTGCCTCTGCCTCCCTGGGCTCTGATGACATGTTTGAGACACTATGCTCTGTAGTAAATTTATTAAAGTTTCATGTGAACGGGGTTACTGGAGCTTGTTGGTCCATTGATAAAGTCCAAAATCTAGGGATGTAGAGAATGTTTCTGACTATACCGGAGAAAGCTGGTTCCCGTGGGATAAGCTCCAGAGTGCTGACTGAGCAGAACAGTGTTTTCTGGCCCATCTAAGCCACTCTGCCCTTAGACTGGCAGATGAAGAAATGAAACATGATATTAGCATAAACTAGTGACTAGAAAGTGGACTTTGTTAAATCAGGTGATTTCTTGACTCTATATGTGATATGTAAAATATAGGTACATTATAAACTTGTTTTCATTGAATAATTTTATATGCAGAATATAACTTTTGTTCAAATCGTCCCTTAGTTTTTTGTCGTTTGTTTAAGGTAGTGTTGCTGCTGTTTGGTTTTGAAGTACTGGGGATCAAATAGCCCATCACTGAGCCAGTTTGATGGCCTGGTAAATGAAACCAAATGCCAAAAGA